TATTTCAATTAAAATAATTTTAAAATTTCTACAGTATGGTATTTTTAATAAATTGAAGAATTATAGTATGCATTAATAAATTGAAAAAGAATTATAAATTGAGGAATTGCTAGAAAAAAGTAAATGATCTGTGTTATGTATAGTTATAGTGTAACGTATTACATAGATACAGCTTCTACTGTAGCATCCATTAGGTTGACGTTGTAATTATAAAATGGACGTGTGTAAAAGATCATACTACAATTCCAATTATTAACATTTTCAAATTGTGTATCTACCCTACTTACTATTACATTACGATGTTATTCTTAATATTTGATTCTCTTACATACATATAGGTATATATTATTACGAATTTGTATTACAAATTCATTATGTTATAAATTTATTTTTAAAAACAAAATCATTTTAAAGATTTTCACTCGGAACTTTCACATATACTCTATTTCTACAATTAATTAATAATTATTACATAAGTATTTTTATTAGCTCTCTGTTTTAAAATAAAAATTCAATTTAATGTTATTATGCATATTTTGAAGACATAAATTTATAATAATCAAAGCAAATAAGAATACCAAAAAGATATAGTATTGTTTTAAGAATGTATTATTCCACAAAATCGATTCAAATAATGAAAATTAATAAAAATTTGAAATCTTACAGTTTACAAAAATATATTGTAACTCAAATGATGCTAATAACAAACACTATTTTGTGTTTTGCCAGTGAAACCAAACAAAATATAGAAAAGATTGCGTGATTTTTGTTGTCTCATAATATGGTGATAACGAATTTCGTAAAAGCGTCAATTGTTTATATCGAGTTATGTGATGAAGTTAAGTTAAGCTTATTATAATTACAGTCAGATTATAAAGTAATTTGTTGTATGCAATTTTTTCGTTATATGTTATATATGTATATTTTACTGAATCTTTTATTAAAATTATCTATGTAGTAAATATGTCTGATACATTCATGTTTAGCCCATTTACTATTTACCTAAACAAATGCAGACTTATTATTACATATACCTGAGTGTGTCAATAAAATATATACACACTATACTATTGTATATACAAACTGTATATACAAACTGTATATACAATATTGTAAAAACAAACTGAGAGTATAGTGATCATATGTTGCCTCTTTTACAATTAAAAATATTCAAAATTATCAAAATTACAGTCATCTAACATTTTTACTCTCAGTATTATATTTGGTATATTCCCATTTAATTGGCCTACCCCGTATACATGATTTGTAATAATCAACCAAATAACTAAACATGAAGTACTGTTTTTAAATTTTCTTATCTTCAATAGTTCTAATTTCAAAAACATCGCACCGCAAGATACTAATGGCTTCTTTTCAGAGCGCATATCAAAAGATTAAGTTTTATTATAAATTACAGACTTCCTTTTACCATTTATGCGCATAAGAGTAATACTGTTACAAATCGACTACCAGTTAATTTTCAAACTGACTGTCAACCTACCAGTTAATTTTAAGACAAAAATTTTCAATTTGTTATCTGATATACTTAAACAGGTCACCGTATACGTATTTAAGTAGGTGTAACATGAACTGTATATTCAACAAACGCGAAGCCTCGAAATTTTATAAACTTGTGATCGTCTATAGGTTCCACAAACTTAGCTGGTTCCGTGGTTTTTCTTTTCTCAAATAATATTTCTAAACGTTTGTTATCATAACGTTGGCTCGGAAGAATCGAGGTCTTCACAAGAAGGTAGGCGTATGCGTGTAGAAGACAGGAAACAGTCGAGGTCGATATCGCGTCATCTTCATTTCATTTAATCGTTAAACGATCCACGAATAAAGAAAGAATAATTAACACTTTATAATCCGAACCTCCTATGCTTGTGAAAGCAAACGAAAAATACTGAAAACTCATTTTTTTAAAAGGATGACTATTAATAACCATAGTCACGAAATAACTGTATCTAATAATAACTTATAAAAATACTTTTTGTATCAGAACAACTCAATTTTTCGACGGTGAATACGCGCAGTTTATTTCAATTATTATATAACACACGTATTATAATTTAGTCTGCGAGTGACATCAATATTACAATCAAAGCCGAAATACTTGATCCCGCAACGAAAGTCTTTGCAAAATACAAGTAAAGTCCGTAATGACAACAAGTATGTCCCGTAGTGACAAGTT